TTTCATAATTCCGCTCAAAACGATCCCAGAACAATGAATTTGCGAGATGAACAGGCCGCCATGAATCAGGTAAAACAATATGTTACATGCAATTTGATTGGTCCAATCGCTTGTAGTTAACCAATCGCTGGGCCGTTTATAATCGAGCTAAGACTTCCGCAACAAATAATGCCTTCAGTGATCTGATTAGTTGAAGCTTCCATACACGTCCAATCGCAGGGCTGTTTACAAACGTAAAACGGAGAGACTGTTCGGGAGAGCTCGTGAAAACTCGACAATAAGGTACCTGACCGCCCCTAAAATTTTCTCAACGGATTTAGACGATTCACAAAAATGATCAATTTAAGAAATAAAACGGCGGATTTCCGCGGATCCGCGGAAAATTGCCATGTATGCATATGTTAAAGCAAAGTTCCACTGTACTTTGTTTTTCTTTGTGGTTTATCTATCAGACGCTGGTGTTATGCCTTTCAATAAGAATGTCTCCAAAACAGAAGAGTGAGAAAAAAGATAAGGTGAAAAGGGGACACATACCTTGGCACAGCTCCCAGGACGATCAAATTGGCTTTCTGCTTATTGTTGCCAATTACTGCATTCTTCATGTCACTACAGAGGCAAACACAATTCACAAGGAAATTAAAGAATGACAATAGTTTTAATGGAGATTTGTCTTTGGTTATTGTGTAAGACACAAGCTAAATGTATGAAAACATATATTACGTAATGCAATTGTGCAACGTGGTTTTGCTGCATGGGTATGATCATAGATACGTTTCCTGTTTTCGCCAAGCTGGCCAAACACTATCAAATGGCAGGAGGCTGGTGGAAAAGTACAGATGAGTGGAGGCTGTAACAAGAGCTAACCTCCAGAGGTTAAAAATAAAACAGGAAAATGAATTCTTACGCAAAATGTTGTTCTGAAAGAGAACATCATGTAAGCACTGGAGAATCCAAAATTTTAAAAGGTAGTAACTTTGTGTTTGAAACAAGTTGTACAGACTTGAGTACTCTAATAGTGTTTCGAGTGCAATGTCAACTAGTGCTAATTGTGTATTTTTCGCTTGAGAAGGAGGGAGTGTCGATTTCAGGAACAGATGAGTACGCTGTATTGAACAGGTCTGCCACCTTAATATATGTAAAATATCCTCAGAATTTCTGAAAGCTCTGCTTTGGTAAATGAGGGACATCCAGTAGAGGTTAAGAAAGCCAGGTTTGAGCAGTATTTTCAATTTTTTTTCATTCGCCCCTCACTCACAAAGAGGAAGGAGAGCGGTGGTTGGAATAATCCCTTATCCAACCGCACACGAAGAGGTCCATGATCATTTGCAAACATGGCATTGTCCACCATGCACCCGCTGTGGTGTGGTCAGCCCATAACGAGGACAGGTTTGCCCATTCGGCCAAGTCGCGCAATCATAACTTGGCTGTTCCAATGGCAAGCATCCTGAGAGAGAGAGTTATTTTTTATTCCCCCCGGTTAGAAGTATCCAGCATCAACAGGGGAGTATTTAACCCATCCTAAGTCCATCCTCTGTTGTTCTTCTAAGGTTCTACATAAATTTGGTGTAAGAGTTGTCTATTGTCGGTGAATAAAGAAGAATGTGACTTTTTTATTTATTTTTGGTAATTCTAGTGCTACACAATGACATCATCAGCGACCATTCAATGTCATTTCAACTTTAATCACGTTAGTGCCAACTTAAATATTATCTGAAGTTGTGCAAACCGATAGTTTGAATTAAAACTTGATGTTGATGTGAGATGAACATACATGACTCCCTGCAGCACTTTCTGTGGGTCTGGGTCGAACAGTCGGTCCACATAATGGCGACTCGTGGCAGTGACCTCCTACAATACAACAAAACACAAGTCGATGGTAACAAACAGCTGCATGGATTTTTTTTCTCTGAATTTAGCGTCAAAATTTAAGTCAAAGAGAGTTTTTTTTAATACTTTTTTTAAAAAAATACTCTCGTATATGAACCACACCACTTAAGTTGCCATCCCCTCCTTCAACAGCTCTAGTAAATGCACCTAGCAGCTACATGTGACACTCTCTGAAAATGTACTATTTGTCAGTGACAGCCAGAACGATCCACACGACGTGTGAACTCGTCACGGCGCCAAGTGCAGCGTTAGTTCAACGAGTACGATCTGGCAATCACTGATCTCAGCTCCTTTGCATTAATAATGATTCATAAGCGTTATTTTGAGGTTTGGGCAAACTGGTTGGAGGCAACTAAAGTCCAACTAAGCTTGCAATGGGCTAGCATAGAAAGGACCACCTGTCACCTGGTAATATTGCGTTTCATAAACATATAGAATTAGTTATCTTTCGCATGAGTTGGGCTGTGGTTACGTGAAGGGATACAGATCGTATTCGTGCAATGCGTAAATTACTGTTCAATATGAACTGTTATGACAACTCGTAGCAGTTAGCTGCTAACTCATTCCGGGTTACACTGACAGCTCGTCAACCGCTCGTTTCGTTTCACATATTAGCCTACAGTAAGAGAAGACCGTTCATCGTCGTTCTGACTTCACGAGTTCCCAACGTCCCCGCCTGTCCGTGTGAGCAATATGAAGAAAAACGAGTGCTCACTTTCTGGTAAGCACTACAGTAGGCGGACCCGCTAACATCGCTACATGTTGCAGAGCCATTGACTTAGCCTTTGTGCTAACGGGGTACATGCACGTCGTTCTACTTTGACAACAGCGTATTAATGTCAACTCGTTGAGCTTCAAAAAATACAACATGAAGCGTGAGAAGAAAACACAGTGGAAATGAAAACTACGTTCATCGATAAGAGTGACACTCACAGACAGCACACTGATGCGGAGAGGGGCCTCCAACAAACACGCCATCTCTCGTCCCCTGATCGAGCGCCCCAATCGGCGCAACACTTTGCAGACACCCCACCCCCAGACTAGCTTTAGGCGGCCTCTTAAAAAAGAAATGCAGTTAAATCAATCACGTCTTAGTTTGCGTTTATTTTTTTTAAATGTGAGGTGTATCCCCCTGTGGACACAAATGTAATTGCGAGCTTCAAAGTAACACCGCTAACTTGGCGTGTAGTCTGACAGGCAGGCAGTGGATGTGTCCGTCAAGTAAACATAAGCGTGACGTATTTGGTTATCATGAAGTAGATTCGTCACATTAAACTGCCCAACAGAACAGAGAACATAGAAAAACACGCATGAAAATTGCATCTAAATAATTTGCGCGCATAAATGGAGTACTTTTTGAAAGTCCATAATAGCTTCTATGAATAAGTATTGAATCTGCTGCTGGTGACCAAAATTGTAGGCCCCTGCGCATGCGCAGTGTTATGTAAACGCAGGGTGGGAAATTTCGTTGCATACGTGAACAGTTTTCCAGCAAAATATGTACTTTTTCATCATGATTCGCGGGCCTTACGGCGTGTAAAAGCGACTCAGCGTCCTACTTACCCCCCGTCCGCCCTTACGTCTCTGTAAGTCAATTTTTGTTGCTTAAAAGAACAATCGGGTAAATAGCGCGTGTTCTTCGCCAATGTGCTGATGAAGGGCGATATCGACTCGAAATGAGCAATAACACCAAACACACTGCGCTGTTATTGGGCCTTTTCGTAGCAATGTGAAGACAATATTTATTAGATCCCGTTTGCATTATATTTATTTGCTGTGTATACTTAATATATTTACTGATAGAGGGTTTTGACCTTTGTGCTAAAAATTGTAACATATCGTTGTAATGTTGCCTTTAATTTGGTAGCAAAGGAGTTGAGACTGAACCAAGATCGCCTCTGCTGGTTGCAGCCATGAAGATTGCAGTGGAGGGCTGTTGCCATGGCGAGCTGGACAAGATCTACGAGACCATCGCCTACCTGGAGAAGAAGGAAGGCGTCAAAGTGGACCTGCTGCTTTGCTGCGGTGACTTCCAAGCTGTGCGCAATGAAGGCGACCTCAAGTGCATGGCGGTTCCTGCCAAATATCGAACCATGCAAACCTTTTACAAGTCAGTGCCCCTTTACATTATTTTTTTTGCAGGTCTCAAGTGGGCCTATTTTTTCAGCAAAATCTTTATTACAGGTACTATTCTGGTGAAAAGAAGGCTCCAATTCTTACCATTTTCATCGGCGGTAACCACGAGGCCTCCAATCACCTGCAGGAGCTTTCTTATGGAGGCTGGGTAGCTCCCAATATATATTATTTGGGTATGGACTGTCTGACAATACACAATGTCACTTTATCTATAAAAAGTACTTTGTAATTGAATGTGTTTTGTTTTTTTGTTGTTTTTTTTGCTTACGTACAAACATGTATACATGCATACATACAGACATAGAAACAAAGTTTCTATGTCTCCATTTGTATCTGACAATAGTGTGAGCTTCAGGTTTTTCCCTAACTGGCTTCCGTTCCATTCACATCATAATCGCAGAGCCCGTGGCTCAGCTGAGCACGTTGTCTATCACACAAATAAGGATTTGCAAATGTAACTATTGAACAAGTTTAACATTTACAGTTGCCTGCCCCAACCATTTTCTTAGCAGATGGGGGAGGAAAAATTCACTTTTGACACCGCCGACACGCCACATGATCATTGTTCAGGAAAATCTTTTAAAGACAAGGTAATCAGAATTGTCCAACTTCCTCTGCAGGTTACGCTGGGGTCGTTCGCTACAAAGGGATCCGAATTGGCGGCATTTCTGGCATTTTCAAGTCACATGACTACCGAAGAGGTATGTTCACTATTAAACTGGACACTGTACTGTACACCATAAAGCACTGTCTTCATTGGTTGTGTTGGGCTCTTGCAGGTCACTATGAATTCCCGCCGTACAACCCCGAAACCCTGAGAAGTGTCTATCATGTGCGAAATATTGAGGTGTTTAAACTAAAGCAGGTAATCTTCAAACATTCAGCCAGGCTGCTCCTTTTCACAATGTAGAAATGTAGCAATACATCGGATTTTTGGAGTCATTATTGATTTTATTGAAGATTCTGGTTTTTGACATAACACAAACCAAAACTTTCGCAATTAGGTCGACACTTATATGTCAATATAATTGTGTCCCAATAACATTCTTCTTCAGGCCTCCTTCGGTTGTTGTCGACTATGGATATTACATTAGTTTATCGAGAGTCAGCATTCAGTTTACCGGCAGCATGGTTGGTGAGTCCAATGGGGGAGTGTCAGTCTCAGGAGCAACTGTTGCAGATGCGGCTAGTTGGAGTGACGGCTGGGCTGCACTCTTTTCATTGGATGTGGTCTGGATTTTTTATTTTTTTTTTACGCCAGACTTCAGCTGTCTGCGGAAAACACTGTGCCATCTGTTGCAGTCAGATGCTACATCTTCCTAGCTCTGTGTGTTCATGTCCAGGGCTTGCAGATATCTTTGAAGCGCAATTGGGGGCGGCCAATAGTTCTCTTTCCTGAGGCAAGTTCATTAGGAATGCGTCCATCCTCAATCCTTCGCACATGGCCAAGCCATCGCAGCCTGTGTTGCATGAGCAGCATGAACATGGTGGGCAGACCTGCACATCCACAAACCCGGGTGTTGGCAATCTTATCACTCCAATTGATGCCAACCAAGGATGCGGCGAAGACAGCGCTATTCAATTTGCGCTCCCGTTTGGAGTATGTTGTCCATGCTTAACTGCTCTAGAGGAGAGAGTGCTGACGATACAGGCGTTATACATTGCCATCTTCATTGGAGTAGTCAGCTTTGGGTTCTCCCAGACGCAGGTGGTAAGGCGTCTTAGGGTTGTGGCAGCCTTGCCGTTGCGCTTGTTGATCTTGCCATCAAGAGACAGGTTATTGCTAATGCCGGATCCCAGGTATTTGAACTGGTGTACAACTTTGAGTTGGTACTTGTCAGATGGCTGGTACAGTGTCCACATCCTGGCTCAGCAGTTTGGTCTTTTTGAGGCTGACGGTCAGTACAAAGTCATTGCAGGCCTGGGAAAAGTCGACCGTCAGGTCTGGTTTGTAAGTGCACTTATTCGGTTGCAGTTCCAAAAGCATGCTTTAGAAGCAGGGCAAAGAAGATAACAAAAAGGGTGGGAGCAAGGACACATCCCCGTTTTTTAATTATTTTTGTTTGTTTGTTTTTTTTTCCTCAAAACTGCTGATCGACCCCCAAAAATCCTGATTGCGGAAAGCCTAACTTTGGGAAGCTTTCAAATACACACGTCATTGAAAAAAGTAATTCAAAGCATAATGTCCATTCCCAAATTCCAATCAGATCCGGATGCCTGTCGACATTTTCCTGAGCCACGACTGGCCTCGGGGTATCTATCATCACGGGCCCACAGAGGAGCTGCTGCGGAAGAAGAAGTTTCTGCGGCAAGAAGTAGAGTCGAACTCTCTTGGGAGTCCCGCCGCTGCCGAGCTCCTGGAACACCTCCAGCCTAACTACTGGTTTTCGGCGCATCTTCACGTCAAATTCGCTGCTCTGAAGCAGCATCCTGTAAGACTGACGGCTAACCCCCAACTGCTTAAATATGTTGTCAACATTCTTTTTCATGCAATATCTTTCTGACATGGTTAAAGCCTAAATCCAACGCTGCCCCGCGAGTCACCAAATTCCTGTCGCTGGATAAATGTCTGCCCTATCGGGAATTCTTGCAGGTAAGGGAAGCTTGCATAATGTGTCTGTAAACAGACAGCAGCTCGAAATTGACGCGGGCGCCTCTGTTGTAGATCGTGGACATACCGGAAAGGGCTGGTTCATCAGACGATCTGGAATACGACCCCGAGTGGCTCGCCATCCTGAAGGCCACCAATGATCTGCAGAGGACCACCCCTCATCCCTGGAACCCTCCAGAGAATAACGGCCTGCATGAACGGTACACATTATGAATAGGTCTTCACTATATAATTTACTGTACATTTCTTCTTAAAGGAAGGCCTCATTAATTTTACGTGTGGCTTGATTGGTTGTAATTAATGAATTAGTTTAGCTTGGAAGAAAATGCATAAGAGCGAACAAGGTGGCCAGCAATATTGTTTTTAAAATCATTTTTAAAGTTATTAAAATGTACATGACAAGTCATAATGTCAACGGTCACGTTACCCAAAATATTGCATAAATTGGAACACTTTGCTCTGCTAATGTAGCAGTTAAGTCATGTCCGTAAATATTTGTTTGAAAAATACTAAGAGGACATAAATATAAAACAGTCAAATGAAAACATTTTGTATGGCAGTACCTGACTTTATCTTCTTTTGCTTCTTGACGTCAGTCTTACGCCAATCAGGAAACTTTTGTAACCTTGTATTGTCGTATGTCAAGACTCTCGAGGACCTCTTGGATTACGAAATCAATTCTGACAGTTTTTTAAAAATCCTATCTCATTTGATTGTGCACCTGTACCCAATGTTGTGGCCATTCAGTCACCATTCACGACCGGTATATCCTAGTATTGTTTCCTCCTTGTTATAATCCACAATCCTGAAGAAAACTGTTTTCATATCATCTGGGTTTCGTCATTCATCAGTTGGGACTTTACGGTTCCTGAAGATGCACTGCTGAAGGTGGTGGAGCAGCTCAATGGCGAGCTCGCTATCCCGGCCAACTTCAGTCGCACCGTGTCGCCCTACGACCCAAGTAGCCCCCAGTACCACGTCGCACCCAGCTACCGCGCCAACCCCCAGACCACAGAACTATGCGCCACCCTGGGCCTTACGGACCTCTATACCAAAGCGGGCCAGGCCGCCGACACAAGCAGGACTCAGGACGGCCGCATCGAGGAGGAAGACGACACTCAGAGCGGTGACGAGCCCAGCGAGTACCCAACTGACAATTTGGGAACGTCCCATTCCTTCAATCCTGATGAGATCACCATAGAGGACGAGTGGGAGGAAGAGGAAGGTGAGGAAGAGTCCAAAAGCAGCACTGATCCAAAACCGCGCGGGGGGGACACCCACACACCTGCTGGCTTGGTCCTGCCCCCGCCCAAATCCCAAGTGTCGCCCATTACCATGTTGCCCCTCATGGACCTGCCTCCCCCTTGCCACTCCACACCAGCCATCCCTCGTCTTCCTCCAGATGACACGGGGGTGGAGGGTGAGCGCTTCCTCAAACGGACCAGCGATGATGGTGATACAGGAAACCGGACCATCACACCTCGTATCAAACGCAGGAATCAATTAATCTATGCCACAGTAGAGGATGATTATGATGAATAACTGAAAAAAACCGTTTTTTTTTTTAAATGTATTATTTCCCTGACTTTTTAATGGAGAGAAAACAAGGACAATCATGTTTTCCTTTTTTTAAAAACAGATTTTAATTTTTTTAATTGTTAGAATTTCTTATTTTTTCTAATTGTGATTTCAAGACAGCAGAAATTGTCATTGGTTGTAAAATTAAATTGTCCTTTCAAAAAAAAAAAAAATCATTGTCCAATCTCAACAGTAAGTGTCAATGTCTTATTTCCATTCTCATGAATTCCCAAACCATTTACACATTCATACCGTTTTAATGATTTGAATGTGTTTTCAAGCAGACAGCATAAAGCACTGCAAACACAAGTCAAGTTCAATTTATTCAAATGAACAAATCCAAATTGAAAAACAAATTGGGAGTTGAAAATAACATTCCTCACTACCATTTTTCAATCCATTTATTTTTGATTATTCTTTCAAGAATGCTCCCATTCAAGTTTTGATGAGAGAAGCCACATTTACAACAATTTGAGAAATGATCATTTATGGTGGGCACAAATCTAAAAAAAAAACAAGTGAAATTTGCAAACACATTTTTCTGTTTGCAGCTGTCGTGTTCAATCCACGTTTGATTCAGATTTGACAGCAATTTAAATTTAGCACGGGTAATGATTGTGAATGATTTTATTACATTTTTTTCTCACTTTCCACAACTCATAAGATTCAAACATACAACTACTCCAACCCATTCAACAATAAATTCTTTTCACCGTTTCTTCATTTTTCATTCCATTATCCACTGACAAAACTCATAATGTCTTGCGTCAGGAATCAATACTCCCTGTGCTCTCGCTGCGCACATTATTTGTGTATTGTGATTATGAGTAAATATGGGGTTTTATGTCAGCATATGTATTTTGGCTCATGCCTTTATTGTTGGAAAAATACACTTCCATGTATTTTTCTTTGTAGCGCAGGACATGTATGGACTACTCCTGACTCAAACATGAAAAACATACACACATATAAATTGTGTTGGTCAGTTTTCACACCCACAGGACCAGACAGATGAAGCATGTGAAGCAGATTCAGCCTCTTTTATTTTACCTCATCATATTGCTTCCTTTGTTGCTTGTTGGCTTTGTACAAGTGTAGGTTATCAGACAAGAGTCAAACTGAAATGATGCAAGGCAGAATATACGTAATTTGTGTCCTCCCTTTTGTTGCTCCTTTTCCTCTTCTCAGCTGGCTTGATTCACAATGAGGATGATCGTTCAAGATGGTTGGCTGAGGCAAGGAGGGATACGTTTTGGGACAGGACTGCGGTAGTGGGAGTTCACGTGGTAGTGCATGAAGGGGATGTGCGTGATCTAGTTCCCGCCGCAGCAAGCCCTGGTGGAATGGGCGTCGGGGTCCTGAAGGTTGACCCCTCGATGTCGTGCTGCGTGTGTTGGGTTTTGGGTGTCTGTTTTTGGCATCTTTTTGGCTGCAGAAACACAAGTATTCACACAGACGTTGATCTCTCCAATCAGTTGTTGTAAGGGCAAAGGTAATCTGTTAAACTTAGAAGACATCTACAAGTCACAATTGTTTTGGCAACGGTGAATCAAAATGAACATAATGCAATTCAAGACTTGACTCTCACATAAAGTCATGACTTTGAAATGAGAGGAACAAATAATAGAATACTGGATATTAAATTTTGTGGACTACAGAGGAGTTTGAGTGACATGAACAGTAACTCACCAATGGCCAGGAAAAGCTCGTTGACGTTCATGGCCGTCTTGGCTGAAGTTTCCATAAAGAGCAGACCCGTGTCATCAGCGTACGTCTGTGCTTCCTTCGCCGGCCAAAAGCAACAGGTTAGGACAAAAGCATTACCAAGTTGAATGAATTTGGAACTCAACTAAAAATTGTGAGTAAAATACAAGAGCGAAACTTGGGAGTTGGAACAGTTATCATGTGTGATGTCAGCAAATACGTTTTGGTGAGCTTCCAGCTCTTTAACTTTCAAAGTTAACTTGATTGCTTTTTTGTGATTACACCACAGAGGGGTACCATTAATTGGACAACTGAACCAGAAATGGAACTCACTACAATATAGGACATTGTTGATTTGCTCATTACAATACGGGAAATACAATTCATTTAATTTATTCCAATAATACAGAGTCACTTCTTGCCTCTCCATTTCGTGTCTGTCTGGTTTCATCAAACGACGAGTAGTTTTAATTCATTCTTGTTTTCTTCCACAGTGGATAACTTGTTTTTTTTTTTTTTTTATACGTACGACAGTAATGTTAACATTTCACTTGGAAAATAGTCTATTCTGTAGAATAAAGGTTTTACAATGGTGACAGTATCAACGTGGAAGAGATGAATTTACTTTATATTACTTCCAATGGTGAAAACTGTTTTTGAAAATAGAACATCTTGGGAGTTAAGGACGATGTTCCAATATTGAGGTTCCACTATATTTCAATGCAGATGTCAACAGAGTTTTATTTATGTTTTGTCAATGTGTAAGAAAGAAATCTAACTTATGAAGTGACCGTATAGTATACCGTAACTGAAGTATTTTTTTTTATGTTATTGCAGTGCCACTTACTGATTTAAATCTGTAGCGGGATGCTCATGCACAATCAACGAAATCCAGTACAACAAGAGGTGTATCAATATTTTGCCTTTAGAAAGATAATGTGTTCAATTTTGAAAGCTATTATTGTACTATTGCCATTTTACGTTTTTATTTTTTGAGCGAGGGCGGCTGGGGGGCTTACCTCATACTCTACGAGTCTCTTCTCGGCCAGGTCTGCCTTGTTGCCTGCTAAAGCAATGACAATATTGGGACTGGCCTGCCTCTGCAGCTCCTTCACCCAAGCCTTGGCCCTCTCAAAGGTGTCCTGTGTGCACATCAACATAAAACACACGCACAAGCACACACAAGCGTACACACAGACACAGACTGATGTCACTTTCTGAACACTTAAGAAAAGGTTTTATGAAGGTCAAAGTTTAACCACCGTATGAGATTATTCCATTATCATGATCGGGAACCCCTACATATTATCGGTCAGGCATTCACAAATTGCCCGGTTCGCGGATTTGTTCAATATTGCTTTAGTGAGCATCATCTTTTAGGATCTCAGGACTGAGGAATTATTTTGAAACGAGGGGAGGAGCTTCATTTTCAAATAGAAAAAAACAACAACAAAAAAAAAAAAAACAGCTTCACCCCTAACTTCTGGGATCGATTGGCAATTGCTAACATTCATGGCTGGGCATTAATTACTTGCGGATTTCCACTCTTGGTGGCAGGGTTTGGTCCCTATGTCTTACTATTAGTGAAGGTTTATTGTATTTCATATATTTTTAAATTTGACCAAATTAGAGGTTGACCAGTGATCCAAAATGGATTGTCTTTGACCCTGAATGTTCTTGTATCAACAGAATCAATATGTGTGGTGTGTGTGTGTGTGTGTGTGTGTGTGTGTGTGTGTGTGTGTGTGCGCGCATGTGTGTGCGCGCATGTGTGTTGCGTTGCGTACCGGCTTGGTGATGTCAAAAACTACGATGGCAGCCTGAGCTCCTCGGTAATACATGGGCGCCAGGCTGTGGTAACGCTCCTGCCCTGCTGTGTCCCAGATCTCAAACTTGACAGTGGTGTCATCTAAACACACTGACTGGGCCAGGAAGGCAGCTGTGACATACAAATATCGATTTGACTCTCAAATGTGAAACACGCACAGACATATTTTCATCATGTTCCCCGCAGCCCTCACCTCCGATGGTGGTCTCCTGAAACTCGTCAAACTGTCCCTTGACGAAGCGCAGCACCAGGCTAGACTTGCCTACTGCCATGTCGCCCAGCAACACAAGCTTGAACTGGCAGATCTTGGTCTGCGGCAGCGCGCCGTTGGAGCGGCTGCCACTCCCTCTGGAACTCATAGCGACCCGTGTGAGGGTGCCGTTGGGGGAAGGTCGCTTTTTGCTCTGCCTCCAACCTCTGCGGTCGAGTCTTGCTGATGATGTGCCGTCTGCGCTGTGAGAGGAGGTGTTGGAGTAAATTACATTGACTTAAAGTCAATAAAGGGCCTGCTCAGTCTCAGTGTCAAAATGTACGTACGGTAGGTTGATAGTTTGTGGATATTTTACTTTCATATTGTCATTTCTGTGTACCGGGAGCAGCACACACTTCACTTTGCTGCTGTAAAACCTCTATTTCGGCTTGCAAAGTGATCGACTGGAAAAATCAACAAATTGGGATTCATTAATTTTTAAAATTCTGATAGGCCCTTGACTACTGTAGGCCACTGGCCTCAGGCCAGGTAAGGCCGTTCGGAAAGGCTGGCCTGATTGCCAAAACAGTTGAAGTTTTAACGACTAGCACGACTGAAAGGCCCTTGGCAAATTAGAATGACAAGGCAACATATATAGTACAGGCTTAAAGGAGATGTGACAAAAAATCCACAAACATGTATTGGAAGGAGCATAGCAGAGAGAAACGGTACTAAATTGAATAAAATGAATACAATTTCATGAAAAAAACGAAACAATTTAGGATGCAATTTTGGTCAGTTGGGATTATTCTGTGTGTGTGGTTCATTCAACATTTATTCGTAAATGAACAAATCATCCATCCATCCATTTTATGATCCGCTTTATCCTCACAAGGGTTGCGGTGCGTGCTGGAGCCTATCCCAGCCGTATTCGGGCAGCAGAAACCGGTTGCCAGCAAATTGCATGGCACACACAGACGAACAACCATCCACGCTCACACCTAGGGACAATTTAGAGTGTTCAATCAGCCTACCATGCATGTTTTTGGAATGTGGGAGGAAACCGGAATACCCAGAGAAAACCCATGCAAGCCCGGGGAGAACATGCAAACAAATCAGCTTTGGTAAAATTAAAAGAAAAAATATAGGATTTTGTGTTTAGTTATTTCTTCTTAAAATATTTCTGTACCATTAATTGTTTATTTTGTTTCTTTTTTCCAGTTACAGTATATGTACAGCATGTTATATACGTGAATATATTTCATTCAATAGCAATCATCTCTGTACGGTTGAGAAATATATAATAAATTGAATCATGGATGGAATAATCCGTTTTCCAATCCGTTTATCCTCACAAGGGTCGCCCGCGACCTCGAACATTTACAATGTAAATGTATCACTTTGCGTAACTGTGTGGGTGAATCTTATTTGACGAACGTCTGAAAACATTTAATAACGTGGCAATTCCACACAATACAAATAGACTATTAAAGATGTTCTTCGTGTCTTTGAGAGCAAAACCGAGCACATATCAACGCAGCATTGTCATATCGAATAATACACCCTGAAGGCCAACATATCATTTGCTTCCTTGTTTATTCCCGTGGTGACCTCCGTCAGATGTTATCGTTTGTTTTGGTCGCTAGCATGACACCGCTGCAGTCTGCACGTCCACTTCAGCTTGGACGCCTGAAAGCAGCTAAAATGATGAAGAGCTCAAGTATTCGACAGCAATGTCATAACACATTGACGTTTTTCTCGTCTGGATCTTACTATCGAGACTGTGAGAGGAGGCCCATATACACTCACCCGAAATAGTATCGCTTCCCCTGACTGTAGACTTCAATGTAGAAACATCAGCTGGCTGAAGCCAAACGCTTCCTGTTGGGAAAACAGCACATGCGCACTAGCTGTCTGCAGCATTGTCAAGAATGCCCGAGATACATGACGAAAATATGCATTTACGTACTGTCACAAGAAAAAAATAGGAATTGCCAGGCAGTAGGACTTTTTTTAAGACAAATTGAGTGCTGGTGGTAGGTGGGAGGCGGGGGCGTCAAGCGGTGTATAATTATTTAACGACCAGTTTATTATTCTTGCGGTGTCACCGCTTGAGGCGTCCGTCCTCCAGGCCTCTCGGGGGCGCTTATAGCAACGAGCCCGAGTGAGCGATGGTTTGAACTCTTTTGCCACTCATCCAAAATAGTATAACACGGTAACGTGTACGTTATAGTATTTTAAATGAACGTGAGGTATAAGTGAAGGCATGACGAACGGAAAGAAGCAGAAGAGTTCGGACACAGCGGTGAGGGTCTTTACATGGGACTTACACTGACGTAGTTGTTAAGATGTCTTCAAATTCTTCTTGGTCTCCTCAGGTGCAAGGGACCAATGACAGCAGCGTCGTGAGTAAAGTGTCTGCTGCAGCTCAGGGTTACTTCCACGATTGCTTCCTGCAACACTTCGTGTGCAAAGTGGCGAGGAGATCTCCACTCATCAACAGGTCGCACACAGAGCTGCTGTTCTTGTCAGACAACACACAATACATTCACTAAGGCGCGGACAAAACTGGCCGAACGAATGAATGAATGTGCCAACATGTGATGCCACGTCACATGCTTGGAATAATGCGAAATGTGCACGGTAAGGCAGTTGGAATAACTTCCCAATAAGGACATATTAGCACATTGTGGAAAGATTATCACATTGATGCTGGATCCCGTGCAGGAAAAGGGGATAAAAAAGTGACCGAGCTAGCCAGGAGTCGAACCTAGAATCTTCTGATCCGTAGTCAGACGCGTTATCCATTGCGCCACTAGCCCGTGTGTAAAGGATGGCCGTCATTCCAAACAACTGGGCTTGGAATGTCAGGCTAAATCCTATTTCTTTTTTTTTCTTTTTTTATCACTGTGATTCATTTTAATATGGACATCAGCTTGAAGTTCTTCAAATGTGATAAAAGCAGAAACTATCTTTGGACTTAAAAGTTCAGTGGATGAAAGAGTTCTAAGGTGATATTGAAGAGCTGTAAAAGGTGCTTTGCTTTTTTTTTCACTTACTTTTCATGGGTCTCCTATTTTTTTACAAAATATTGACCAGTCCAAAGTGTTGAAACTGGCGGTCTCTTTTTATAGACACAATGTTGATACATTTTGGGGGGAGGTTCACTGAAAAGTGATTGTTTAGGAGTTGTGAGGATTCCGCCCAACGCCAGTGATATGTTTAATAAAAAAGAATGTTTAACACCGTGTCATAACATTAGTATTAAACAATCCCATCTGTCAACAATATCATGATTATTAACATTCTTGCAACACATGCTAAAACTAAAACATTCGATGTCCACCTACATATTATTTAGGGGCTACTATGTGCGCTGGAGAGCAGTGGACCACTGTGTGCGCGCCTTCCTGCAAGTCACACAACATTGCGCCAAGAGACAAGTGAGTTAACTGTTCCTTAAATCCATCAAGTTGTTTTAGGTCGTCACATAATAACAGCTTCTACTTTTCTATCTTTTGTAGATTCTGTCCCTGGGTGCCGGGTTCGACTCGCTGTATTTCCGTCTTTATGGCGACGCGGCACTCAACAAGGCCGTTGTGTTTGAAGTAGACTTTCCAGAGGTGACCCGGCGGAAGGCGGCTCTGATTCAATCAAGTGTGTCGTTGTCGGAAATGTTGGACTCCCAGCATTCTCTTTGTTTGACAGGTGAAATACTACATTGATCTAGGAACGTTATATATCGTTTGCTAGACAGCTGATCATATGTGTCCGTAGGGCCTGTGTACGTCTCTAGCAGTCAATACTTCCTGCTAGGGGTGGATGTGAGACATGAATCCCATGTAGAAGAAGCTCTGGTAAAGGCGGGACTGGATCCAACTGCCCCCACTCTGATTCTTTCCGAAGTGGTGCTGACCTACATGGAAACACAATGGTGAACATCACAAATAATGCATTTTGATTTTGAGAACTTTACCCCAGAGCTAGGAACTTTTTGGAGATCTGTTAGCTGCATTTGCAACTAAAGGTCCATGGAATTTTAGTTTGTGGTGCTTTTGGTTCCAAGAACTAAAAGCTTCCAATCAGGCAAAAGTTCTGTCATGGAGTTCCCGCTTTAAATTATTCTGAACCTCTCAAAATTAACCCTCTTGTATTGACCCTGATAAATAACCCTGGAACAAAATTCAGACAATCGTACGGCAACTTTAGCCTGGAGGTAAGAACTCCATGTGGACCAATATGTGTTTGACTTGCAGGAATTCTTGTATACATTTAGTAAGACTTGAGAGAAGCCCAAGTATGGGTTTGCATTACTGAACCTATCTGAATGGAAAGTGAAAAAAGATCCAGGAACTTTCAATGGAAATGCAGGTCTTCAAAATATTCTTAGTTTGCATGGTTCAAATGTGCTAACTTCTGTTTGGACTTCAGGAACAATTTTTGGCCTAAGGGTTATTCCTCAGGGCTCAAAAGAAGACCCAGTCATAGCGTCATACTTTTGACGTCCATTTGTGGCCATCGTAATTCATGAACATTATGTTCCTCCAGGTCAGATGACATCATCAAATGGGCAGCGAGGCTCTTGCCCCAGTCTCTCTTTGTCATGTACGAGCAGATCCATCCCCAAGATCCATTTGGTCGCATCATGCAGGAGCATTTCCTGAAACTGAATTCCACTTTGCACGCGCTCCGACAATATCCCGACACCGATGCACAAAGGCAGAGATTCCTTGACAAGGCCAGTATTTGCGAAATTGCGATAGCTTAATTACCATATTCCCCTGAAAAATGGCAGCATTGACACATTTATTGACTCAAATGCAGATGGATGGAGGCATCTGTTGCAAACTTTCTTTTTGACCACTATTCAACAATATTACTGGGATATAGTGGTAGTTTGACTTATGAGTTAAATTCATTTTGTGACCAATCTCTTAACTACATCACCTACTAAATGCCACCAAAACACCAAATATAGTTGTAAGGAGAATGTGAAGAACCACACTGGTTCCAGTTGTATAAAATGTAACTGTATAGTTGTATTTGTGTGTTGGTGTGTTGTGTGCCTTTAAGAGGCATGGCCAACCGAGTGACATCCAAGAACCAGACTGGGGTTGGCCTTTTAGTTTGTGTCTGAGTGTCAGGGTGTGAGTTGTTGCCAACTGCAGCTCCTTGTGAGTGTTTTCGTTTTGTATTTCTCTGTTTGACCGTTGGTCCAATTCACTACACGGCTGAGAGTCCATTGGCGAGTGGCTGTCACGCTCCTTGCTGGTTTGCAATGGCATTGCATGACCTTAATTGCTGGATTTGTTTTTCTTTTTTTTTTAATTCCCTCGAGCGAAAGTGTGTCTTGAACACTTTAACTCACAACAAAAATAGCAAAAATTGACCAGGTGAGTGCTCATATCCTTGAAAGACTTGTGAGCTGAGGGACTCATAAGCGAATGTACCATTTAAGTTAAGTGTAGGTCAAGTGAAAGTGGAGTTTAAAACAAAATAAAAGCAAATATTTCGGAAAAACATCCTGTAAACATGGACACATACAACATTGTGGCACGATAACATGTCATAGTCTGCAACAAAACTAATCGTTGCTAATCGCTCCATAGTCACATAAGATTTATTTATTTTTTTATTTTATTTTTTTACAGCGATTGTTTGTTTGTTTGCAGCACGTGCTTTGCTAGGTCGTTTCGTGGAGTTTAAAACAAAATAAAAGCAAATATTTCGGAAAAACATCCTGTAAACATGGACACATACAACATTGTGGCATGATAACATGTCATAGTCTGCAACAAAACTAATCGTTGCTAATAGCTCCATCGTCACATAAGATTTATTTATTTTTTATTTTATTCTTTTACAGCGATTGTTTGTTTATTTGCAGCGCGTGCTTTGCTAGGTCGTTTAGTTAACAGAGATACTGTAATGAAAGTTACTATGTTTTTTTTTCTTGTCTTCAACGAATTTGGTTCTGTAGTTGGAGGGAAAGTCACTATTTGGGGAAATGTGGTATTTAAATCTCTTTATTGATGTCGATTACCGTTGATTCAATGACTGTGTGTTATTGCTGGGGTTTATTTGTTTATTTATTTATTTGTTGTATTCAGGGATGGGAGCAGTGTGTGTGTTTGGATATGAACGAGTTCTTCCTCAGGTTAATTCCTGATGACGAGAGATGCCGAGTGGAACATTTGGAGCCTTTTGATGAATATGAGGTCAGTTTTTGTGTTGAGATTAAAAAACAAACAAAATAAACACACAAAAAAAAACAAAACAACAATTGACTGAATAATACTGTCCAGGGTTCAGGCCCAGTCGTAATTCAATCTTCAATTTAAGTTTATCAGATTAGTTAGTTCATTTTAACTTTGATTAGTGGGTGCACCAGTAGAACTATGACATTTATGTACAAATATTACAAAACTGCATGAGCTGACATCTGTGTGGTACTAGTACAATTAACGCACCATATGTTAAGTAGCAGAATATTAACGTTAGTAGGAGCACATTTGTCAACTCGTGCAAATTTTCCGCAACTGTTGATGAAGCAGTTTTTTTTTTCATTCCAAATTGCAGCCTTTGCGATTTGAAAAACCGCGATGTTGAGTTGAATTCGATTCATTGTTCGGCCCTAGTTTCTCGTGCCACAAGCCATTGGTAAACTTTGAAATGTCATATCTCAGAATCCTTGTGAATACATGATAGGTTTGGTATATGAGTTGCAGTGATGATCCTTTCTATTCGTCAGGAGTGGCACCAGAAATGCTCGCACTACTTCATCCTCACAGCATCTCGAGGTTCTCTCACAACGCAGTCTCTCCTCGTCCATCCGTCAGGTGCTCATTGCTTTCACTTAATCCTCTTACCTGTTTTTTTGTCTTAAATCTCTGTGGCATGACTGCTTTTGTTCTACCTCTCAGTGCCACTCCAGTGCCCTTCTTGGAGCCCCGCTGGCCTCGTCGTGAAAACAGAGCCAGTTTGCTTGGAGGGTTTCGGGATGGCCTCCACGTTGTTGGACGGAGGACTCATCCTGCTCACTGGAGGCTCCTGCAGAACCGGCCGAGGGGCTCCGAGTCGAGTCCTGCACCGAGGTCTTGAAGGCTGGAGATCCTTCCATGTCACACCCTCAGCCTGTTCGAGTGAGTTCATCGGAATTTTAGGCTCATTGGGTTGATACGGTAAACCAAAACCTTTCCTTTCCTCCAGGTGTCCGCCGTTACCACAGCATTACCTCTATTGCGGGTGGTGTCGCTGTGATATACGGAGGACGCTCCTCCCCGGTCAGCCCCATCGGAGGCCTTGTCAAAGTCTCCCTCCATCTTGAAGGGTCACCTGGTCCTGAGGACATAGTGGAACTTCATGAGGAGGAGATGACGTGTACAGGTGCTCATCCACCACTTAGATGGAGACACTCTGCCACTCTGGTCTGTCATAAAGGTAAACTCAGAGCAGTTTCTGTTGTTTACTTTTTAAACGAGACCAAAAACCTCATTGTTTGCTTTTATATAGGAAAAGACTTCTTATTTATCTTTGGTGGAAAAAATGAGTCTGAAGCAGTTTTGGGTGATGGCTATTTCCTGGATCTGGATCAGAAACACTGGACTGAGGTAACCAATGAAGATTTACCAAAATACAAGCTTATTTTTTGAATGCTTCAAATGTCAAGTACAGCGGTAGCTTGATTTTCAAGTTAATTTGTTTCCTGACCAAGCTCATACTCAATTTTCCCTACTTAAAATACCATTGATGCCTTCCAGACCTGCATTCACGAAGGTTTCCTACAGTTTTCTCACCTGCAACGTGATTGACTGCCTTGGCACGTTTCATTTTGTGCACAGTTAAAAAAAATGTATACTTCATACTAATGGTGTTTACTTTTCTTCAGTTTTTAATAAATATGTTTTTTTTATGTCTTGAATTTGTAAAAAAAAAAAAAAAATCATATTTTAATTTTTCACTAATGAAGGGTTCGGTGAATGTGCATATGAACTGGTTGGGTTTGGTACCTCTAACATGGTTAAGAACCACTGGTCAAGCTTTAAATCATTGGTGAATCTTTTTAGAACATTTCAAAATCGAACATGACTTATTTTCAATATGCAATGCAATCTTGTTAGGTGGCAGTAGAGGGTGCTGCACCAGAGGCCCGCCATTCCCATTCAGCATGTTCCTACCAGGGCGGGCTGGTGCTTTTCGGAGGGCACGGAAGAAGGGGAGAGCCGCTGGGGGACATAATGGTGATGAAGCCAAATGAGAGAGGCTTCTGCTGGGAGAGGATCGATGTTCAGCCCCCACCCTGTCCCAGGTGGGTTCCTCACACTTACATACCGTATGCTTATAGGCCTCCTTTCATCAGAATCAAGTTTTCTCCATCCATCCATCCATTTTCCAATCCGCTTATCCTCACAAGGGTCACGGGGGGTGCTGGAGCCTATCCCAGCCATCTTCGGGCAGTAGGCAGGGGACACCCTGAACCGGTTGCCAGCCAATTGCGGGGCACACAGAAACGAACAACCATCCACGCTCACACTCACATCTAGGGACAATTTAGAACGTTCAATCAGCCTGCCATGCATGTTTTTGGAATGTGGTAGGAAACCGGAGTACCCGGGGAGAACGTGCAAACTCCACACAGGGAGGCCGGAGCTGGAATTGAACCCTGTACCTATGCATTATGAGGTGGACGCACTCTCAACTGGATCACCGGGCCACCCCATTCCCCTGCCCCACCCCACTATTCTCTCTC